ACCAGAAAAGAGACAGTGTATTTTTGTAATCCACAATTGATTGTCTGAGAGAAAGAGAACACTTAGGAAGATAATAGCTTCAAAAATTCTAGTATGAAGCTTACTGCATTTGTAACCCAAAATAATATTTTAAATTGAAAATAATGATCACTTAATCTGACTGAAGATTAAATATCTGTCACTTTTAACACAATAAATCACCACAAAGACTATAGTAATATCTCTTTCCATGTCTATGGGTTTTTCTAGGATCTTACAATGGGCTAAAATCAGCTATTAAGAACAGTGTGACTTTGTAGTATTAGCATCGCTGCTTAGATTTCAAACTGATTTCTGGACCACTAAGAGACCCACTTTAGCCAGCCTGGGTTTAAAAGCAGTTCACAGTCCTAGAGGGGCAGCCTGACGACCAAAGAGATGGAACAAAATATTGATTTGGGACAAATGGTAGCAAAAAGAAACATGAAAAACTCCAATATTGGTGGGATCCTATCTTCTCATTATTGACTAATGACAATGCACCACTAGTTAAACAATGTCACTTTTAACCAGTACAGGGGAGGTTTTCTCCCAGTTGCTTAATTTGAGCTCAATCATATCAGATTCCTGGAGTCTTCTCTAGAGCAATGTCTGATTTTTGTGAAGTCAGATGGTCCATTTCCATAACAGGAATTTCATCTTGCCTAAGGTGGATGTCTGGGCTAGCTGACAGGGAAGAGACTGAGTCCTGAAGGAGGTCAGATAATCACACCAATCAAGCCCTCCAGAGTACATCACAGATCATTTGTAAAAAATGGAATTTTATACAAGCAAACATAAATTAGACAAGTTTATTATTGCTTTCCAATATTAGTATATAAATGGTTGGGCACTGTGAGCTAAGATTAAATGCTGAACATAATTAGTATGGGTGGATAGCTGATATCTCTCCGGTGGTCTTTTTGGTTTTATTTCCTTCTGTTTGTCATAGAGCCAGAACTTGCCCTGAATAGTGCCAGGGGCAGAAAGGGAGTTTGAAAAAAATTTACAGAAAATTATTGTGTACATTTCTGCTTATTTTGTGGGTTATGAATATTAGGATTATAAATGTAAGTAATTTTAAAAAACATCAAAAACATACATCAAGTCTAACCATAAAGCAGTATATTCAACAAGTAATTGCTCAAATGTTAGCAATAACCCTGATCAGGAACAGATCAGTGATAACCAGTATGGAAATTGGAATATTACCTAAAAGTCAGTAATTACATGGATATTGCAAATCCTATCATGTAGGTAAATGTCTGGAAATTTTGCACCATCTAAAGTAGACCAAAATAATAAGACTAAATACTCTGCAACAAGTAAATTACATAATGGCATTGTACTTATGTAATTGACTGTTCAGTGTATTTATGTCAATTATATGTGGAATCAATCTTCAAGAAAAACCTTGTGTTGCTTCACTTCATTGACTTTTTTTTTGCATTTACTTTGCAAGAACAATCCTAAAACAGAATGTTTTTCTAATTTTATGCTTTCCTTTTTCTGGCATTTTGTTGTTTTTTTTTTTTTTTTTTTTTTTTTTTTTTTTTTTTTTTTTAGCTTAAAATGTAACCAGATGCTCCTGCAAAGTAGTTACTTATAAAACAAAATGACTTTCATTAAATCTTCAGCAACCCACCAGGAGTTACTTTGCATGTGAAACTGGAAATAGGATTGCTAAACATTCTAAATTACAAAATATGTTTAAATACTATGTAATCAAGTTCACAGTAAAAAGCAAACTGTTTTCTAAGTCTGAAACTAAAATGGCTATAGAACCTTGAGTATGTAAGAAAAGTCTTTTAAATCCATGTGTAATGACACATGGTGGTAACTGGGATATCATCATCATCATCATCATCATCTAACTGTCATCATGCAAATTTGATGTTTCAGTAGATTTCTACAAAGAAATTGCCTGTGATACAAAAATGGTATCTGACTTAGTCCAGACCTACAACCCCCCATCAAGATGCTATGTATAGTCCTTTCTGAATGGGAATGCATGGTTCACCCACAGTAGTTTTTGATACTCAAGACTACTATTGGCTTTATATCAGTAGTGAGGAAACCCTAGCATGTAATTAAGATTCCGGAATACCAGCAATTAGATGACTAAGAGAAAATTTAGAAATGCCCTGGAAATTATCATTTCTAAAAGTCATGGTAGAAGACATTCCTTTTCTAAAGCACATGGATAAACAGAATTAGCCAATAGGATTTTCACTTATTTAGATGTGTGACATTTCTGAAATATCTTTTTTCTTCTCCTTTGGCCTCCCACCAACTCATCAGTGTGGAAAATTGAGGCAGTTTAATGTGTTTTTTTGCTTAAAAAGTTGCCTACTCTGGTGCTATCCCAATATAGTAGCCAATAGTCTGATCCGGTTATTGAGTACTTGCTGTAGTAAAGGTGTAATACGTATTCCTGATTTTGAAAACAGTATAAAAATTAAAAATCCAAAACACCTCATTAACTTATCATACTAATCATATATTAGAATAATAGTTTGGATATATTGGATTAAAATACACAATTTCACCTGTTTATATTTACTTTTTATAATGTGACTAAGAGAAAATATAAAATCACTTATGTGGCTTACCTCCTATTTATATTTGACAACATGTTCTAGACAAATAACTTTTACAATCATATTATTTACATTTCTATTTTACTTATGTATCTGTGTGACAGATTCTTACAGTTTGAGAAAAAACATTGGGATTGTAATTAGACTTCATAAATAGGGAAATTAATTCAAGATTGTCCTTGGTAAATTAGACTAGTTTATGCTATTTAGCTGAACTTATCTCAAAACAAAAATCAATAATGCAACATAATTTTCAGCTGCAAAATGTACTGTTATTTGCTGAATTTCCCTAAATTATTTTGCTTGTGACTGTATCATCAATTAGTGGTAGCATTATGAAGTAGTTTGTCAAATGAGGGCTCTATCTGCAATAGTCTACCATTATTATTATTTAGTTAAGTAATCTTTGAGATAGATGGGCCCCATTAAAACTAATATGTTTGCTTTGCTGTTCTTTCAAAAATGTTAATGTAGTTATCCTAACTTAGGTTACATTTCTGTGAAATATTAGATGCAATCATTTGACTGAAGTGACCAATTTTTGTGAATGCTTGTCTTCCACCAAAATGACTAAATCAGTCATTACATAGGCATTATCAAGACTTAATCTTTGACATACAAGTCAAACATAAAACTCATTGAATTTCAGAGTGCAATTTACAAGTTAAAAAATAGATGGAATTATCCTCACACCCTTGAGTACTCACTAAGGAATATGCATTGTACTCATTTAAATGAGTAAATTCTAAAATACACTATTTAGTCCCTGACTTTGGCAATGCTGTTCCTAGATAGAGTGCACAGGCCAATCAAGGTGGTCAGTCCAGAGTGCTGGCATGACAGTTACAACTACATTTGAAACAATATGGGCATGGGCTGGATAAGGCAATATGATCTTATCTTCCAACTAATTGTTGCTTTTTAGCAAGACCCCTTTCTCTCTTTTCTTCTCTCTTCTGACATATAAGACACTTACTGTATTTACTTTATTAAATCTCAGTGGGAAAAGACACAAAACAATCTTTCCAATGAAAATCTTAACACTTAGTGAAGAAAGCATTCTTACAGGTTAAAAATAGTGAAGCTTCTCTAGTAACTAAATGGGAATTATGAGATAGAATGAATTGGACAAGGAGAAAATAGGGAAGGAGGTAAATAGTCTCTAATAGATTCTATGAACTCAGATGATGTGTCCTTAAGTCAATGTCAGGGTTAGACCCCTCGCCTATGGAAGATAAGAAGTCCTACCTTGTATTATGAGAATAGTAGCAAAGATGATCTATACTTGGAAAACAGTGCCTACTAAGGGCCAGTGGCCCCCAGAAACCAGAGTGTAACTATGTTTTCCACTGTAATAGTTTTGAGGATGAGCCCAAAAATTTAAGATTTTTTTTTTTGATGAAGACTTATATGGAATAATCATTATTATCTATTATTTTGCTCTCTGTATTTAATCTTTTTTCAAATAAAGAAAACATGATATATAATTTTATAAATGTTCATTGAAACTCAAAAAAGAAATAAATCTGGGATACTTGGGATTAGTATAATTTCTGATGGGAGTAGTGCTCATATGAAAATCAAAGTAAAACGTTCTGGGGGAAAAAAAACTAAATTATTAGATCTAATGTTATATCATCTCAAGAGTCTGATTTGAAATCTGTAGTTTTCTTTATTTTTGGTTTAGTATTTTAAGATAAATGAAAAGTTGCATTGTCCTAAATTTATTCACATGGAAACTTTCAAAAGTACATTATAAAATAGGGGCAATTTCCTTCCAAATATGAGAAAAATATATGCTAATTTTTCATAAATACCTTTAGTTTATGAGCAGTGTAACCATCAACTGAAGAAAAAAAAAAGATTTTTATAAAAAGAAAGATTCTTTACTCTAAAAAATTCAATAATGAATGAATGATCTTATAGTGAAATAATATTTTCACTCTATTCAGATATTTTGGCACCATCCAGTGGGGTAGATTTTTCTAAATATTTGACACTTGGAAATTACAAAGTTTATCCATACAAAATTTCCTATCTTTAAAATTGTAGGAAGACATGAATAAATCTAATTTTATTTGAAAAATGACAAGTTTTAGGCCCAGTCTTATTTCCTTCCCTAAATTTCTTTTTTCCCACCCTAAGTGCTGTCCATAAGAAGGACATCTTATGAAAGAGTAAGAAAAGAAAATAATACATTCCTCAGCATGGGTTTTTAAAATACTTTCTCCAGGATCATAAAATGACAGAAATTTATGACAGAACGTTTTTCAGTTATTAGTAAGGTAAGCTATAATGACAAAAATAATGACAAAATAAAAAAAAAAACAAAAACAAACAAAAAAAAAAACATTATCCGTGCAAGCTTTAGGGACATATAATAGTATGCTTCAGTTTCTTGTCTTTATAAGTGGAAATTGTTTTCAGCATGTACCATACAACTAGAACCTGTAACCATGTTCTTGTAAACAGTTCAAACACATTAATGAAAAGTAAAATATTATGAATATCATGAGGACGCATCTTATAGCACTACCTAGTATTAACCAAGCAATAGTCCAAAGGAATTACTGCCTTGTGTAGAAGTTCAAAGGATGCAGGATGACTATGTTTTCAAAGCAAAAACCATTGGTTACTATTTGCTTCAAGTGTGTCTTACTCATCCCTGAAAATGTATGTTTTTAAATGTTATGTTGTATTTACTTGCAATTTCAAATTTAACTCATCGGTATTAGTTAACCATTGCATACCATAGACAACACTATTTTTTCATAAAGCAGTCACATGCATTGAAGTTAGGATAACCAACTGATATATATGTATTTTTTGCACCTCAATACAGAATCACTATAGTGCATATCATGCTTCCACACTTTCCTTGCTGAAGGACAAAATGCATAAAATGCTGGAATTTGGCTTCCAGGTCAGATGAAACCACTTTAGTATTCTGGCAGGATCGGATCACTTTCCTGAATTCCAAATTCCAGAGCAGGGTTTTCTTGCCCTTCTTTGGGGGCTGCAGCTTCCTCCACAGTCTTTAACTTCTCCTCCACAAGGCTTCCCTCTACTTCCGGGTCAGCCACCTTTAAGCCATCCTCTTGGGCCTCAGGCACCATCTCGGTGGCCTCAGCACCAATTACATCTTCATAGTTAACTTCCTCAGTGGTTTTCGTCTTCACGACCTCAACCTCTGCCACCTCATCTGCCACTTGATCCCCATCTCCTTGAATTTTCTCTCTTGGAATAGCTTCAACGTCTTCCTTGCTATCTTGGGTTGGCAATAGCTCTTGGCTGGCCTTCTGGCTCTCCTGGATGTTGCTATGACTGCTGCTGGCACTTCCCAACCGGGAGGATGCCACCACGGCCTTCACTGCTGCCTAATTTGGGACAGAAAAAGCAGCAGGGGTGAGTTACCCCCACATAAAATCCAACTCAGAGCTCAGCTTCAACTTTGAATTTAGGGAGGTTTTTTTTTTTTTTTTTAATGTATGTATTTTAGTTTTGAATCTTTCAAAGAACTTTTTGAAACTTTGTTTTTTTTGTTCCAAAACTGTGGAACAAAAATTTGTTTGGAGAATGAACAGCAAACTCTCTTTTCATATGGACAATTGAAAGCCTGAGTAAATATGTTCACCCATGGATTACCAGTTTTAAAGAAATTTAGACTATGGTTCCCAAAGATTTTGTGTCATGGAACATCAGTTAATATTATGACAATAAAATAACACCAAGGTTAAATTTGTTTAATCCTGGGTATTTCAAATTAATAAGACCATGGAAGCCTTTAGAGTTATTTATCTGCAGATTGGGTAAACAGAACACTACTTTTGACCTCTAGCCATTCTCTGTGATTGCCTATTTTTAGGTAGCCCTAAATACTATTATGAAAGAGAAAAGCACCTAATCTATATTCCATGCACATCCTGTAAAGATATATTTTAATGAAAAATTTCTTTATCACTTGAATTATTTTAATCTTTACCAAGAATGATAATTATCTCTATTACTAAATAAAGATTTAAAAAAAATATTGTGCAATTTTCACATATTCAAAAAGAAGACAACTTTCTGAATAAGTTTCCAGAACAATGGCGTTCAAGCACTTCAGCCTTAATTAAATGAGAAACAGCAATAGTGAATAAATTCAATACACATTTCCTTTTATTAACAATAAATTCTTATGAGAAGATAAAAAACTTATTAGTGGCCTTATACCTGCATTAAAGCAGGATCTTGTACCACAGAAAATGAACAATAGTATTAGATGAAGAATGGAGGAATTATCTTTGCTATTTCAAGATAAAAGAGAAATCTTAAACAACAAAAAAGATATGCCATCTTACCTTAAGCTTGCGTCGGGCATTGAATTCCTGGAGCTTCTTCTGAGCAGTATCCATATGTACAAAATTGGCTGCTTTTCCTGTGACCCATGGGTGCTGGAGAGCTTGGAAGGTAGTCAGGCGCTTTTTGGGATCCAAAACAATTAATTTTCTGACCTGAAATGATAAAGAACCATAAACTCCTGAGGAAGATTTTTATGGTGAGCTGAGTTTGTTCCTCAGCTTGAGACATTCTAGATTTTATTCTACTTTCTTGGAAGTACCACTAAATATACATTAAAAAAAATACTTGCTAGCCCTCTGAGATCACTGTGTCTAAGAATGGCTCAAGGTGTCTGCAGATGAGGAACTCAGGGAGGCCATGTCATGACAGTCTGAACCAGCAGACAGTCTTCCCACAGAGGACAAAGAAACAGATCCTGGCTTGCCTGTGGCCTGGATGTTATTTGAAGCAGAACCATTATGTGTATAATTCTAGCACTCTGTAATCACTTAGAATTTAGAACTTAAAATACATCTTAATGGAGATAGAATCATTTATACATACAACATTCTTTCTCTGGGGATTAAATGGCAAACTTATCTTAGTCCTCATGATCGCCCATGATTCTGTCATGGAGCTGACGTTTCCCTCTAATCTGTGGATGGTACTGTAGGAATAAGTCAAGTTCTGAAATAAAACCATGTTTTGGAACAAAGCAAGGGTGTCGGTGGCTTAGGGGAATGGTTTGTTTAAAGGAAAAATTCTACCAAATGGCAGCCTGTTCTGGGAGGTTTAACTCTACTTGTGAGGATGAGCAGATAATAACTTGAAAGAAAGATCAATAACCAAAATAAAATCTGGCCTGGGCTCAGAAGGTGTAACCTGAAATCAAGTAGTGACTATCAGGAGTGAGAACACGTGTTCAATTCATAGTTAGAGCTAGAACTATTTTGGCAACTCTAGGGAAAGACCCCCTTATGAATTGTGTATCGCTGGACACTCCTGGGCCTTTCCATCACCTCATTTCACCTTCATTCCTTTGAAAACACATGCTTATATGCATATACACTTATATTCATGTATTTTTTAAAACTCATTTAATCCTTTCCATAACCTTATAAGCCTGAAACTACTAGTTTCGATTAATAAGTGAGGGATAAAGGGAAGCTCAGTAGGCTTTAGTAACTTGTTTAACATTAGAAATTTGTAATGTGGTGAGCCACCCTGGTGGTATAAAGTCTCAGTGCTCTCATGCTATTAAGACTGCAGCCGGAGTTTGATCCCTGGCCAGGGAGCTACCTACATGGCCCAGCAGACCATGCCTATCTCACCTGCTGCTCCCCCTAGCAGTATAGTTCAGTAGATCTGCAAATTTTGTTCCCCACTCTGACTTTGTTGAATCCTCTCACCCCCCTGCACCACTGGCCTACACCCCAGTTCGTCTATGCAAAAATAAATAAAAAAATCTTTACAAAAAAAGAAATTTGTAATTTGTAGGAGCTATATTTGAACTCAGGTCTGTTTTACCACAGGCCTCATCTTAGGCCACCACATCCTTGTGCCTTCAAGGTGGTCAACCTCTCTGGACTTTACTTGGCTCATGTGTAAAATGAGGGGATTTGGATGATTGAAACCATAAGGTCTTTTTTTAACTCTAGTAATCTGAGAACTGAATGCCTGCTAGCAATGCCAGGCCCCACAAGTCAAATGAAGAATCGATAACTGCTCTCCTTTCACCTCCATTTGCAAAGGAATGTGTGCTTGTGGTAGACACAGAATTTATAGAAGATTCAGGCTTAAAATCTGAGAAAAGATGAAGGGAGGTAAAGATAATTAAATAAGAGAATACATGATAGTAAAATAAAATATATTAATCACACTATGACCTGTCAAATACGTACACAAACATTTCAATTTACAATATCCTTGACAATTAGATATTCCCCTCCCATTATTTCAATCATCCTTTTCCTCTTCCTCATTATTACCATACTCCTTCTTAAATAAAAAAAAAAAATTTAAGCCAAAGTGTATCTAAAATTTATGTCTTCTTTAAGTTTGGAGACATGGATGCACTGAATTGTTAGAAAACTTTCTGAAGGGCATAGAGATTGGATGGCTTTGATAGAATTCAAATTCAAAGCCTTGCCATTAGCCTATGGCAGAGTAAACTCATTGGCATGTGGCCTCTGCTGTTGACAGAACAGAGGTGGGTTCTGCTAATAAGGATACATGGGGGGATCAATTATTTGTCCAGTTCTGAAGTTCTATAAATATATTGACTGACAGATCTAGCTTAATGAAGAAAAATCATAGCTAAAATTCTTATCCATTTTATTTTGATTAAGGATAAAAATAAATGAGAGGAGGGCAAAATAGTAGAAATATTGTTTAGTTGATAGTAGTTAAATGAGATGCATTTATTTTATTACTTTAATTCTTCCAAAAACCTAACTATAGATACTACTCTCATTCCAGATAAGAAAACTAAAACATAAAAGGGGGTTGGGAAACATAGAGAAAGTAGTTAAAAATCCAAGATCACACTTCTAAATTATGAAAAATGAGGCATTTGAATACAGGTGTTTGAGACTTTAAAGTGATGACTCTCATGAATGAGGAAGTCCAGGAGGCAAAAGAACAATGTGATAGAAGGAATGGAATCAATTCTGGGGGGAGACCCAGCCAAAGGGGGTCATGCCGCATTATCAGATAATGTCAAATGGCAGCTAGGTTTTAACAATAAGAGTTACCCATGCAAAGAGGGGTGTGTGTGTGTGTGTGTGTGTGTGTGATATTGGAGAGAAAGGAGGGGGCCAGAACACCACAAAGTATAAGAGCAAGCAAGAGCCCAAATCCATACCCTGACAGGTATGTGGAATGAAGCAATATCAAAGAAGAGTGATGGGCAGAGTAGCAGGAGAGAGTGACACACTCTGACCAGGCAGTGTTGTGTATATATTGTTACAGCTTTTGGATTTTATCCTAAGAGTCCTAAAGCAGGAGAGTGATATGCCGTGTTTTCTTTATTTAAAAGACCATTTCCTTGGGTCCTGCATGAGAATGTAGTTGAGAAAGGAATTACAAGAGCAGGAATACCAGACAAGAGGTTATGGCTGTGATCTAGTTGGGGCTGTGGTGGTGAGGAGGGTGGTCCCTGACTTGAGGGAGAAGTTGGGAAGACACGCTGACATCACACAGAGTGCCTCTCTTCCTGGTCATACTGGAGAAATCATGGCCTGAGAGGATCTGATTCATGAAAACATGGATGGTAAAGGAGGGAATGTTTAGAGGCAAAAGAGGATTGAAAAAGGGGTCTGGACTACTGGATGATTGGATCCTAGCAATGTCTGTCAGGAAGCTGTGTGACCCTTTCACTACTCCAGATGTTGACACACTCATCTTTAAAATAAGGAGAAAACCAGATGACTCCATAGATCTTATAACCATCTGTGATCCAAAAAATCAGTTTTCAGTTATTTCTGCATGGATTTACTCTAAAGGATTGATGGTAAATGTGTCACTCTCCTGTTAGAGTCTCTTTTATTTTAGAACAGGAGGGTCATCTCCCTAGAGGGTATTTGTCTTCTGAATGCAACCAACTTCTATGTTAGCTTAAATGTCAAACCATGTAAAATAAATAAAAAAGAAGATCAAACAAAATGTACTATTAATATAGTATAATCATATAAAATATCAATGATGGGGCCTGTGTTACTAAGATATTTTAGTAAGTCTAAATGAAATTCTAGGAAACAGCATTCAGTTTTGGTAAAAGAAAGCCATGACAAAACAGGATTCCTCTGTGAAAATGATGTTTGGCTTCACCCAGCACAGCTGACTTCATAACTAAGACTCTACCTTGACTAGGAGGTAAAACTCATTAATACTGAAATAATTTATATTTTGTGATAATTGAGCTAATGATAAATCAGATTCATCTGTTTTCATTACCTAGAAGGAAAATGCATTAGTGTGGATTGTTTTTTAAAAAATACAATAAAAAAGAAATAAGTTATTACAAGGGGCAATTTAAAATTAACATTTCTGGCGCAGCAGACCTCTCCTGTCTCACCCTCTGCTCCCCTCAGCAGTGTATTTCAGTCATTCTGCCTGTTCTGTTCCCCACTCTGTCTCTGGTGAATCCTCTCACCCTTCTGGGCATCTGGCCTGTACCCCGGTTATTGTATAAATAAATGAACACATCTTTTTAAAAAAAATAAAAAATAACATTTATTACTAATTAATTAAAAATCAGTGTGATGGATTTTATTTCATTTTGTGTCATTTGTTTTGGTCACACTTACCAAGTCCTTGGCATTTAGAGATACTTCATCCCACCAGGGGGAGATAAAGTAATATTCACAATTCAGAATTCTCCTGAACATAAACTGATCACCTCTTTCATCATAGAATGGTTCAAATCCACAAAGTCTAGAGGTAAAAATAGAGGATAAAATGCCATTAGAAGCTTAATTATATGTGTAGTTCATCAATTTTTTGTAGAAATTCAGAGTTGTCCTTTTTCACAGATTCCTGTCATGAATGAACACAAGTATGTAATTGTCCTGTTACAATACACTTTTGATTGTGCAAATACATAATCAGATCTTCAGGAAGTAAGAATAAAGGCAAAACCAACTTAGGATTTCTAGAAAATGTTATAATAATATAATTATGAAACATAACAAAGATAATAGACAATATAGTGATAACACTAACAAATTTCCATGAATTTTATTTCACTGGGAATTGAGAAGACAAACAGATTTAGTGAGATCCATTTTTATTGTAAAGTGAGAGTTAGGATTTTGAGAATAAATATTGAAAGGTGCAAAGAAAAAAGTCCTCACTTTTTTTTTTACTGAATTCTTCCATAAAATTGAGTATAGTTTTACATTTCCACCCATCCTGGTTTAGATTTCAGAGTGTACAATGATGACAGCTAAAAATATCATCAGGGAATTTGACTTTTAAAACTTAACTAAGTGAACAGATGCAGACAACAGAGATGAGCAGCCAACAGTTACTTCAAACTTGCATGTGACCTTCACTGTTACACATCCTAATAGTTCACTATGATCATCTTCACTTTCCTCTATAGGCTCAGCACAAAAATAAAGGGGTAATGTGGGCAAAAGAACACAATTGATAAGAGGAACAATGTGTTTTGGAACCACTGAACCTCCTCTGTTTCTAGATAAGCAGAGGTTATAGGAATAAAATCACTCGTGATGGAAAGAAAGCAAAAGGGCCCCAACAGAGGGTATGTTACCTGTAACACATTTGACAAAGATGGGGGAGAATAATGAATAAGTTAAAAAAAAATTCCCAAGTTCTTCCTTCAAATAGCCCAGGTTACACAGAGCATGAAATGTTCAAGTACATCCTAATAGGAAGAATCAGTCATTTTGCTCAGGGGATTTTCTATTGAGAGATGCTTTGTCTTTCTGGACTATTCTGGAGACAGACAGAAAAAGTCAAGGCTCAGCACTGAAATCCAAGGCCTTGCTTTCATCTCCCCTCTGCAGAGCCTGCACAGGGAGTCCTGGCCCAGCCCCAGGAGGTAAGTGAGCCTGCATCCAGATGGAGACAAGGAGGCAAGCTGGCTTCATCCAGCTCCTCCTGTGCACCCCACACACTGGAAAAATATAGCCTGTTGTTAGCCAACTTTTCAGACTTAGTTTAAGGAGCTGTGTTTCCCATGTGGAAATCTGGAGAGAAAAATGACAGTTCAGAAGGTACAGTGCTTGGATTGCTTTTTATCTCAGTCTTGTCTGTGACTTTGTCCTTTGGTGAGGGAAGTAAAATTATCTATCTTGTCAGCTTGAAATGCCAAAAATAGAAGAAATATGACACCCAGCAGCAAACGTGCATAGGCAAGTGTACAAAGTGCAAAAACCCTTCAGAAGTGGTGATATTCGAATGCCACAATGACAGTTTAGAAGGATATTAGGGGCAGAGAGGGCTGGGCTGTGGATGAACAATACAGGGCAGCTCCAAGCCACTGGCAGCTCTCCAGCATTGAAAACTGAAGGAGAGAGCTTGAGTCTTTGGCATTATCTGATTCTGATTCTGTCCTCAGCATTCTGGTGATTGCTTCTGTCTATGGGGACAATGGGTTAAGTGTAAAAGGGACCAGAATTTCTGGAAAAAACAAGAATGGTCTTCATTTTTACTCTGTCACTTTATAAGAACAAGGTTACAGCACAAAATAGCCTAGAAGAAGTTTTAGTAATATTAAGAGATAAAATGGAACAACCCTCTGGAAAAAATATTCCAATGAACTGGTGGGTGTCATCCATGATTAATGAACTGCAGATCAAATGGCATCACCAGGTTTAGGGATTATAAGTTAGACTAGAATTAAATAACGTTAGCTGTAAGCAGCACTGTGATTTCATTTGGGGGACCACTATTGCTTATTTTCAAACAATAACTATCAATTAATGAGCTTAAGTAAACTAGGGGAATCAATATTGACAGGTTTTTATTTTATTTTATTTTATTTTTAAGATTTATTTATACAAGAACAGGGGTACAGGCCAGATGCGCAGGAAGGTGAGAGAATTCACCTGAGACAGAGCCGGGAACAGAACAGGCAGACTGACTGAAATACACTGCTGAGGGGAGCAGCAGGCATGACAGGAGAGGTCTGCCGCGCCATGTGGGACCCTCACCAGCCAGCTGGGATAGAACCGGCGCTGTGGAGACTGCGGACAGCTTCACAGTGCTGTGCTCAACTGCCTGCGCCACCAGGGGAAGCCCGATATTGACAGGTTTTTAAAAACTATTTTCAGAACTACACTGAGATATTTCTCAAATGACCACACTTCCCCCTCATTTTCCTATGTCAGTGACTTTATCATGGACTATTACTCATTCCATATTTCAGTTTTGCAGGCAATGTGACTTAATTTCCTACCTTGATCTGAGTTCTTGTACCTCATTTAATACTTCAATCCATTCATTGCATCACAATGTGCAATTGTTACTGGGCCAGTACATTTCCATGTTAAGGGAAAATCTGTGTTATTATTTGTGAAGTTCAGCTTTTCACTTAACATTACTGTAGGGTAAAGAAAATGTCAGGCTTTTCTGCCCTTCCGCCATCAGGATAGATGATGGATCCTTGTCCTGAATGCATGCCTGATGGCGGGCACCTGGAATAGGGTGTGGGCATAGGTAGATGGGATTCACCTGGGCTAAGACTGGGCTTTTAAGGGCGGCGTCACGGGGACGCAGCAGCAGCAGCAGCAGCAGCAGCAGCAGCAGCAGCAGCAGCAGCAGTAGTAGAAGAAGTCGAAGCAGAAGCCGAAAGAGAAGCCGAGAAGCAGAAGAACGAACGCTAGAGAGCCCAGATAGAGTGAAGACTTGCTGGGGGCTGGGAGGCTGGCAGGCCTCCCAGCCCCCCAGCCAGCACCCCTGCCTGCCATATGCCTGGTGAACCCCAAATAAAAAACCTGCAAAACTACTGAGGACTCTGACTCCTCCTTTACCCGGTCTGCATGGGATCAGAAAACCTGCTCTGTGTCCAGTCCTGCCTTTACAATTACTCAACATATGCCTCCCACATAATTCAGGAGACAACATTCTTTCTTCAGTATAGGCTGAAGGAATTCTATGATGTCACCTAAGAAATGTATTTTAATGATTTAAGCACTTAGCGTGGCAAACAAACATTACCTAACAATTTGCACTTTCATAAGAAAAACATGTTTTCCTATCACTTTCAATTATTCATAAGCTTTAATACTTCTGGAAATGCAGGAAATTGAATGTTGGTACCGTTACATCATAGCAGATGGCTAATTTATGTGTTCCTTGCTAAACCTTTTGTCTTACTGACCAATAAAGCACATAAACTTAGTTTGCAAACTTATTGGGGGTTCTACCCCAGGCACCCCATTTACATCTTATGTTACCTAAACACTGTACTTTCTGAGGTCACTATTAAATTTGAGAAAACAACCAAGAAACTCCTGCTACACACTAAATTGTTTGCTTCCTCCAAATCCATATGTTGTAGTCCTAATTCCCCAGTCTGATGGCACTGAGAGAAAAGGTCTCTGAAAGGTAATTTCACTTAGATGAAGTACCTGGCTGTGACCACATGATGGGACTGTGCCCTTTTAAGAAGAGACACCAGAAACCCTGTGTCCTCTCAGCCATATGAAAACACAGTGAGAAGAAGGCTGCTTGCACAACAGGAAGAGAGTTCCTATCAGAATCCAACCTACAGGTACTCTGATCTGCTACAGGTGCCTCCAAAACTATGAGAAGTAAATTTCTGTTGTTTAAGCTATCTGTAGGGACAGGAATGGACCAGTGCAGGATTTCTGATCCCATGCAGACCGGGTAAAGGAGGAGTCAGAGCCCTCGGGGTTTTGCAGGTCTTTTATTGGGGTTCACTAGGCATATGGCAGGCAGGGGTGCTGGGGGGCCGGTAGGCTGGCAGGCCTCCCAGCCCCCAGCAGGTCTTCACTCTGGGCTCTACGGCCTTCTCTCAGCTTCTGCTTCTCTTGCGGCTTCTCCTAGGCTTCTACTGGCGTCCCCGTGACGCTGCCCTTAAAAAGCACAGTTTTAGTTAGCTCAGGTGAATCCCATCTACCTATGCCCACACCCTATTCCAGGTGTCCGCCATCAGGCATGCATTCAGGACCGCCAGGATCCATCATCTATCCTGATGGCGGGAGGGCAGAAAACCTGACATTTTTCCTTACCCTACACCATCCATTCTACGGTATTTTCTTACTGCAATCTCAGCTGACTAATATTTTCTTTTTTAAACTGCAAAATTGGGCCTCTCCGGTGGCGCAGCGGTTGAGCACTGGGTTGCGAGGCTGCCAGGGACCTCTGCAAGCGCCGGTTCAATCCAGGGCTGCACCCCGCCCACCGGAGGAGGGTCCCACATGGCGTGCAGACCTCCCCTGCCGCCTGCTGCTCCCCTCAGCAGTGTACTTCGGTCCTTCTGCCTGCTCTGCTCCCCGCTCTGGCTCTGGTGAATTCTCTCACCCTCCCGCCCGTCTGACTGTACCAAGTGCTTGTATAAATAAATAAATAAAATCTTAAAAAAAAAAAATAAACTGCAAAATTATTTTACAGATTTGTATATTCAAATTATTACTAACTCTGCAATATCTGCTAAATGACAACAAAATCAATTTGTTTTGAATTAAACTCTCAAACTTATTAATATCTTGCTTGTGTAGTTGTTCCACAATAATATTTCTTTGCTCTTCCACCATTCTTGCTAATGTTTGTTCTCTGAAATTCCATCATCTCTTTGGGAAATTTCCTGAAACTCTTTGTTTATTTGTAAACAGCAGTTTAGGAATGGAGGTAGGGATACCAGAGAGTGAGATATTTGGCTTATTTAATTTCTTACCAGAAAAAAAAATTTTCTTTGTGTTTATGGTATTAAACTCAAGGTTGAGAATCTATCAGAGAAAGGAAACAAAACTGAGGGTCAAAATATATCTAACAAGTTCTGATAAGAAAAGTACCAGATTGGGATTGTTTAATAGATTTAAAAGACATTTGGTCTTTAAAGAGGACCAATGAACTAATTATTTCAATGAGATGCAAGAAGTAAAATAAAAACAGGTTTAATAAGTAGAACTGATTTTCACACTTCTTGGTATCATTAAATAATGAGTTGTTCTCCAAATCTACTATACATTGTGCAGCAAAATAAGATACAGCAAAGCTCTGGACAGAAATTCTGCTGCCAAGAAAACTTCAAAATCAAAAGCAATTTTTGTTTTCAGAAAATTCATTCATAGGGCCTCCCTGGTGGCACAAGGGGTTAAGCACCTGTAAGGAAGGAAAAATGTCAGGCTTTTCTGCCCTCCCGCCATCAGGTTAGATGATGGATCCTTGAGGTCCTGAATGCATGCCTGATGGCGGGCACCTGGAATAGGGTGTGGGCATAGGTAGATGGGATTCACCTGGGCTGAGACTGTGCTTTTTTTAAGAGCGGCGTCACGGGGATGCCAGCAGAAGCCTAGAGAGAAGCAGCAGAAGCCAAGAAGCCGGGAACGAGCAGAAGCCGAGAGAGAAGCAGAGAAGGCCGGAGAGTCCAGATAGAGTGAAGACTTGCCTCCCGGCCCCCCAGCACCCCTGCCTGCTGTGTACCTGGTAATCCCAATAAAAGACCTGCAAAAAACCACTGAGGACTCTGACTCCTCCTTTACCGGGTCTGCTGGATCCGAAAACCTGCACTGTGTCATTCCTGCCTCTACAGCACCGCACTATGAAGCAATCCACAGCCTCTGCAGCAGGAGTTCGATCCCCGGCCGGCCAGGGAGAAAGCCACATGGCAATGTAGACCACTCCTGTCTCACCTGCTGCTCCCCTCAGCAGTGTGTTTTAGTCAATCTGCCTGTTCTACTCCTCACTCTGTCTCTGGTGGATCCTCTCACCTCCCCCCCCACCTCCCCTGCATCTCTGGTCTGTGCCCCAGCTCTTGTATGCATGAGTGAATAAATCTTTAAAAAAGAAAATGAAAAGAAAATTCATTCATTAACTACAGTAATGTATGTATGTCATGGAAAATCACAAAACAGTCAGAAAGTAATCTTTCTTTTTGTGAAGACTATGATTTCCTAGAAAATCTGACAGCAAAGGCAAACAGGTTGCATAAAGATAGCTTTTCTTCACTTACAAGATGTAGGTGATTATTCCTACAGACCACATGTCCACCTCCGGGCCGTAGGCGCAGCCTCTAAGAATTTCCGGTGCTGCCAAAAGAGTGAAAAATGTGTTAAATTTGAGTTCAAATCCAACAGTCTTATTTTAATAGCAAGCAATGGAGGAGAAATAAGTTCATCAACAGAAGCTTTAAAACAGTTCTAGAACAAATCTTCTTTCCCCAAACCAAAGTATGAAGTTACAAATTCTTATGTCTTATTTTAGTGAGAGATATTCTAGTCTCTGTGTTTGGGTGCATAAAAATTAAGCTATTTAACATTCTGCATGGAATATGATGACACTGTCCAAATCAGATAGGTGTATCTCTGCTAATAATCCCTTAGCCTACTTTAAAGGAAGCTTTGCACAAAGAAATGAAAATCTAGCATAGTAAGCAAAAAGGGGCACAGTTATGTTATCTTGAAGTCTAGATCTGCTTGAAGCACAGGGTGCCCATGTGTGTGGGTTTGAAAGTGTGCAAGGGTAGGGTCAGAACAGATGAGGGAAGCATTGGGGACTCTCCAGTGCTGGAAAGTTGGAGCAGGAGCTAGGAAGGACCTTGGCATGAATCCTGGTATGGAGAACTACATGTAGGCCTGCAGAGAGCACTGTCCTCAATCAGTTTGGGATTCTGAACTGAGAAAGGGGATCTTCTCTAGGTGTACAGTGAGGTGCCTCTGTTAGGCCTGCCTACCACTGTGAAGATGGGCACTCTTCTCAGCCATTAAATAGTCTCTGTTATCTCAAAGCTGTGGAAATGGAGAGTTAACTGGGACCTATTTCCTGCACTAAGGATTGAGGTGTTGTTTTTCTGCTGAACTGACAGAGGAGGAAAAGGAAAAGAGAGGGTTCCCCTACCTGCAGAATCAGGGCTCAGATCAATAGTCCAGAGTGGCCTTTTTTTATTTTGAGCAAAAGTGCTGGAGGTGGCAGTAGGGACCCCAAGAAGGAGGTGACTGATGATGCTGAGGGTCCCTTGGGGGGGACCTTGAAGACAGGTGTGGCACACTGCTTTTCCAGTAAGTTTTTGAATCCTTTCCATCTACACCCACCACCCACGCAGGCTGGAACCTTCAGGTTCATTGTGGACTGTGGGCTCTGGAAGTGATCTGTCCTCATGTGACTCTGGATTTATCTCTAGGAGGGAACACAGTGGATTTTCTACTAATGTTTTCCCATACTATATACTGTCTCGCCATCTTCTTCCAATCTGGATAGTCTCTTTCAGGAGAAATAATGTTACATAAATTATAGGAGCTGAAAAGCCTACACAAATGAAATGAGAATGCACAATCTCACACTCTAAGCAGCAATTCTTTTAAGGAATTGTATCTGGGGCCAAGAAGTTTCTCATCTATAGGCAAATTATTCCTAGAAAAATTTCCTTTCAGATTTAATTAACATAATTATGAAAAATGTATACTCAGTGCAAACAGCTGCACTCTCTCTGGTTTGCTATCATTTTTTAGGGCAATCTGTATCCCCTAGAAGGTTTCTTTGGGTTCTAACATCCCCAGCACTGAACTCCCACTCGTAAATGTTTCACTGACCATAGGGCAGAGGAATCACAGGTTGGGTTGCCAATTTCTAAGAAGCTGCCGTCATCTGTACCTATTTTTGTCTCCAAGAGCTGTTGCTGTCAGGGAACTAATTTGTGCATATTTAGCATGCATTAGCCCTCCTCACACCCTCCTTCACATCAGGGATGTGATACCAAGTCTCACGTGGACATTTATACATAAACATAGAAATATATTGGAGTCTTTTACATTTTCTGGATCTTGTTTTTTAACTCTAATATCTAAGTCAATTGAATTAATTTCCAAGATTACTCTGAATTTTAACTTGTTGGCCACTATGATATTAGAAAGGGCAGCTAGCTAACGATAATCTGAGCAAGAAAAGATGAAAAGAAATCCACCTATAGACCCTGCTGCATGTCCTGTTCCTCCTTCAAGATGCTCACTGTGTATGTTGCCCTGTGGGCAGTGAGCCCACTGGCTCTAGTGAAGTCAACCCTCCCATCCCAACTGTACAAAGATTCATTCCATCAAAGTTCAGGTGTGTTCTCCTGCCATTCCTCATAGCTTCCAGACCCCAGACCCCAAATGAAGTTAATATCTTGGAACAAATTCTTTCTGGATTCACATTATAGGGCTTCTGAGTTTCTTACATAACATGACAATATCTAGAACCTTGAAATACCTCCTTCAGAGCACTGGCTACAACCCTATTCTCCAGATGTAGTTTATTTACTTCTAATGCTGCAGTGTGAGTAAACTAGCATGAAAGGCTGAATTTTCCACAGTGAGGTTAACTGAGACAAATGGGACATACAATGTTTTCATCTTCCACAATACATTTATCTTTTTAAAAGATTTTATACTATTTAACAATCATAATGCCAAATTTGCGTGAAGCAAAGTCTAAACACGGAGATGTAATTAGGTAACTTTTGCAGTAATCTTCCACTATTTTCAATTACTAGTTAATAAATATAACCTTTGATTTTATTCAGAGTCATCAGAACATTTTCTAGTAATAACACTAAGTCTTTTCTAAAAGCTCTGAATAAATTTCAGGATCTGGCACTCCAGCACATCACCTCTTCTAGGTATTATATGTCCTTGCAAGTGATTCTACTCATTGTGATCTCCTGAGTGTGAGAAATAGCTGACAACTTCAACTTTACTTCAGAAAAGATATCAACTATTCCATGTGTCATTGATGCAAGCTCTTCCACCTGTCATTCATAACTTTTCATACTTTAATGTCCAACAACTAAGTAAACAAATGAAAGAGGTGTAGGGCCTCCCCGGTGGCGCAGCGGTTGAGCGCTGGGTTGCGAAGCTGCCCGCGGCCCCTGCGGCGCCGGTTCGATCCCCGGCTGCTCCCCGGCCACCGGAGGAGGGTCCCACATGGCGCGCAGACCTCTCCTGCTGCCCGCTGCTCCCCTCAGCAGTGTACTTCGGTCCTTCTGCCTGCTCTGCTCCCCGCTCTGGCTCTGGTGAATTCTCTCACCCTCCCGTGCTTCTGACTGTACCCAGTGCATGTATAAACAAAACAAACAAACAAATAAATAAATAAAACATGCCTCTATTTAAAAAAAAAAAAAAAAACAAATGAAAGAGGTGGGGGTAAATCATTTTAAGGTATAATATATTTTATGACAATATATTCAAGATCAATTAGAATCAACTACTGTTTCTTAATTTTCCTGGCTGTCTTCTATGTGGGTCAAAGTTTTCTGCTACTTCCCAATACTGTCATTCATGTTGTGGCTCATAAAACATTAATGATACAGAGCTCCCTGGAGACTTCATATTCTAATCTCCAGTACAGAATAATTTTGGTCAATGGTCTTAGAATGGCAAAGATATCAAATGCATTCTTCAAGAAAAGCAATTTCAACCTGATACAAAAATTGCATAAAACTATCAAACTTTAATTATGATATTTATTCACCAATGAATAACCTAGACCTCAGAGTGCTGACTTTTTTTTTTTTTTAAATAAGATCATGGTACCATTAAAATAGTTGGAATAGTCTGTTAAATAAAAGAAACAAGTTTTGGGAGCAGTGAGTGAAGAGAAGGGAACCCTATATAAAGTGGGTGGGAAAGTAAATTGTCACACCATTATAGAAAACAGTATGGAGTATCCTCAAATAAGAAAAACAAAAATTCCATATGATCCAGTTATCCCACTTCTGTATTCAATGAATACAAAATACCATAATTCAAAGATATACATGCAGTCCCATGTTCATTCAAAGCATTATCTATAATAATTAAGATCTGGAAACAATTTAAGTACCCAATGATGGATGATTTAATAAAGATGACATGATACACACACACACACACACACACACGCTCACAATGGACTACTACTAAGCTATAGAAAAGATGAAATCAAGCCACGCATCTGCAACATGAATGGATCTATAAGGCATTATGCTTGGTGAAATAAATCAGATGGAGAAAGAAAAACACTGTTTGATTTCACTTACATGTGATAAAAAACAAGCAAATTAACTGAATAAAACAATAATAAACTTTTAGACAATGAGATCAAATTGGGGGTTATCCGTTTTCTATCACTTTGAGAACAGAGAGTTCTCTATCACTTTGGTAACCAGGAGAGAAACGGGGATGGAGGTGGTAAATCAGCTAAAGAAGTCAATTGTATGGTCAAGGAATAGAGTTGGATTTTTCCTGATGAACTTAATGTGTTAATACAAATGTTGATTTATAATGATCACACCTGAAACTTATTTAGTGTTACAATGCAATGCTACCTCAATAATTTTTTTCTTATAGAATAAAACATTAAATATGTTTTAGAAAAGTATCTGGAGATTGAGCTTTCATTTATATGAATGAATTCCATTTATCAAATGAATTCACTGTAGTCAATTCTGGAAATTGTCCTAAACTGAAAACATTGGGTATGGCCCATGACACATTTTGATAACACAGTGGTGCTGGGTTTCCTCTCTTTTCCTGTAGCCCAAGTTATTTTTTTTAAAGATTCATTTATGTATGCATACAGGAACAAGCACACAGGCCAGAGGTGCAGGGTGGTGAGAAGGTTCACCAGAGACAGAATGGGGGACAGAATAGGCAGAGTGACTGAAATACTCTGCTGAGGGGAGCAGCGGGCGAGACAGGAGAGGTCTGCTGCGCCATGTGGGGAGCTCCCTGGCTGGCTGGGGATCAAACTCCTGCCACAGAGGCTCTGGATAGCTTCACAGTGCTGTGCTTAACCCCTTGCACCACCAGGAAGGCCCCAACCCAAGTTATTGATTGCACCTTCATTGCATACAAACCTTAGGTTAGCTTCCCCCAAACTAAGTTAAAACTAGAGTGGCATTCTTTATGAGAAGCTTTTTCTCAAACTGCTTTTAACAGCCTTTAAGGGAAAAAACGGAAGACTAATGTGAATGAAATCAACAAGTTCATTCATTATTCATTCAATAAATCAGGAGCTATTTATTTGGCCCCTGCTGTGTCATCACAGAGCTGACAGTCTGGGGGTGGGGAGGTGG